CCAGGTGCCTGAGTAGTCTCAGCACTTACTTCACATCAAATTGGATTTGAGGAAAAGCAAAGCCCATATGCATTGCAGCCTTCACTTTAGTGAAAGTTGAGCACTGATCCAACAAGCTCTGTAAGGAGCTCCCATTTTTTCGGCTGGAAAACTGTAAACCATAGAATTTAGGGGCTGGAATGGACCTTACAGATCATCTAGTCCCAACCCCCTGCCCTGGGCAGGGACACCTCCCACCAGAGCAGGTTGCTCAAGGCTCATCCAACCTGGCTGTGAACACTGCCAGGGTTGGGGCATCTACTGCCTCCCTGGGCAACCTGTGCCAGTGTCTCACAGGTGCCACATGGAACTTTGTATCTTGAAACTGTTATAGTAATGTAATAGGGAGAAAAGCCTGAAATATTCCAAGTTTCTTATATTTGGAATTGTAGCATCTTCTGCCAAGAAATCTCTGTGTATGTCTGGGTAAGAGAATTGCCTGTTGGAGAAGTAGCATGTGATCCACCTGACTATTTTAAATATAGGCACTGGAATAGGTTGCCCAGGGAGGTGGTGGAGTCACCATCCCTGGAAGTGTTGAAGAGGCATCTGGATCTGGCACTGGAGGATATGGTTTAGGGTTTAGGGGTTCCAGCAGTGACAGGTTAATGGTTAGACTCAGTGACCTTAGAGGTCTCCTCCAACCTTGATGATTCTGATTTAAAGCTAACAACAAGAAAGAGAACAAGTTGTCATCTTCTCCCAGAGATACTGTTATCTTCCATCTCTGTGCTGAAGCTCCCACACTGATGCCATGTTTGGGTTCTGTTTTGCAGGTCCTGTTCTGACTGAGCTGACAAGACTGAATTTTTTTGACGACACTGTGACAAGAGAGTTGCTGTTCCACAGTATTCATGACGCTGTCCTCGCTTGCCAAGTGAAAGATGGCTCTGCCTCACATGCTGACCTGGGCCTCTGAAGAGGGGCATGGACAGAATGGAAGCCAAATTTATGCTGATGGAGACTCCTCCTGAGTATTTAATTTGCACAGTTTGCAGAGAGCCTAAGGCTGTTTCTATCTACGGGTATAGGGTGGTGCTTATGTTTTGTAGGAAGAGTGGATAAGGAATGGAAGCCTTCATGCTCTTCAAGTTTTTCTTTTTATCAGGGTATAGCCTTCCAACAATATACAAGCACAAAATTATGCAAGAAAAGAAAATTCAGTGTGTTCTGCTGCAATCAGAATCTGGTAGACAAGGTGACATTCCTGTTCCTGTTGAGAAAATGGGCACTTTAACTCACTACGAGTGGGATCTTGCAGGAAGGAACTTCTGCAAGTGCAATACACTGTACCAGTGTCTTTAAAGAACTCTCTTAGATGACTTTTAAAGCCTGATGTCAACATCTGCATACAGCAGATTTACCCCATTCATAACAACCTGCCAGCTGGATTAATGAACTCACACTGGTGGCATTTAGCTGCTGCTGTTTTTCAACCTGGATGGTACAGTTATTTTTTTTCAAAGATGTCTAACCTGTCTCAACTACACTCAACTCTTCATTTGTGCTCTAAGTGAACTTTGAGTCAGAAACTCATTGTTTAATTATTGCATTATTAATATGGTACTTTCACTGCCAAAATCTAGTTAGGCTTTCTAGAAAAGTTGATTTTAAGCTATAATTAATTAAGCTTCAAAGTGTGAAGGCAAAACTGGTTTAAGGCAGGAATTGAAGCCTATTTAAATTAGAAACTGATGCCCTTTATGGAGTTCCTTACCTGGAATGAAAATGTAGACAAGGTCTAAAGCCTCCAGTGGTCCAAAAGAAAAAGAGAAGAACTTTTCTGTTGCCCATCTTCCTACCAGTAGTGCTGCTTCTGCCTCAGCTTTTAAGTGCTTTGAGAATAGGGTTCAGTAGGACTCAGAAATGTTACATGTTTGGGTTTTTTAAAAGAAAGAGTAGTGTGGGTTTTTTTGTATTGCCAGCGTGGCCAATCTGGTACTGTCTCAACTTCAGGTGTGTGAGGTGACAGCACAGAAAAACAGAAATCATAAAATGAAAGTCTTCAATGCCTGTGTTTTCCTCACAACAGTAAAAGCAGAGCTGGGTGAGTGTTGCTCTCAGTTGTTTTGCCAGCAGAGGGGAAGTGAGACAGCAGTGACACTTCATTTAGCACTCTCAGACCACATAAGGAGCTCAGACACCTTCCTCACTTCTGATCACAGAATATAAGACTTGTATTTTGCTTCAGGCTCTGTTGCTATTAGGACATGCTTCAGGTAAACCAAGTTTCCTAAGAACCAGGGAAGCTGGGGGAGACTCAGTTGTTTTGCCAGCAGAGGGGAAGTGAGACAGCAGTGACACTTCATTTAGCACTCTCAGACCACATAAGGAGCTCAGACACCTTCCTCACTTCTGATCACAGAATATAAGACTTGTATTTTGCTTCAGGCTCTGTTGCTATTAGGACATGCTTCAGGTAAACCAAGTTTCCTAAGAACCAGGGAAGCTGGGGGAGATTTTTATCTCCTCAGACTCCCCTGCCGATAGGGATAGGAAGCTTTCTGCATCAGAAATTGCTGCGTAGCTGGAGTTCCAAGGATGAAGTGCATGTGTGTTAACACATTGTGTGTGCTATTTAAACAACTTTTGGTACATTTTATAATGTTAACTAGTTCAACAAGCCTTTGTATCTACATACAGTATATTTTTCTACTTTCAGCTTGTTGCAGCTTCAGTTTTTAACTCTGTAGTCTCTTCAGTTCACACTGAAATCCTGTCAACTTCCAAAATAAAGTGATGGCACTTGTCAAAGTTTTCCTCTTTGTCTTGGTGAGACTCTGTATGAGGGACAAGTGTCTGTTGCCAGGGCTAGGGCCAGGAAGTGTTACTACCTCCAGGCACTTCTTCCCTGCTGTGCCAGTTCCTGCTCCTCCACCCCTTAAGCTCTCTCCTTGCAGGAATACAGCTAATGCCCAATGGCTTAAATGACAAGTTTTGGGGTGTAAAAGGTGACCAGAGATCTAAATTTGGGATGTCTAACACTGCCCATGTATCTGATTTAAAGTCATCTCAGGGGCTTAGGTTGTTACCAGACTCAATTTGAGAAATTTTTTTTCCTTACAGCAGCAATCCTCCACTGGCCTAGACACACTCACATGAACACACACCTACTGTTTGGAATACTCCATTTATTTCTAGCTTCCAAGAACAAACCAGGAACTGCTACACTTGCATTTTTGTTCCACAGAAAGTTTAAGAGCAACAGGGAAACATTCCCAGGCATTAGTTGTAGGTCATGTAGCGTGGGGTAGCACTGAATTTCGCATAGGATTTGATGACTTTGTTCACTGCCTCCAAGAAATCTTTCTCGGTTGCGATTTTTCTCCGTGCTCGGATGGCAAACATTCCTGCCTCCGTGCAGACACTGCGGATCTCGGCACCTTGGAGACAGAGGGACCAACAAACTCAGCACTGACTGCCAGAGGAGATGGAGTACACACAGAGCTCCTTAAATAGCTAAACACATGCAGCTTACCTGTGCTGTTCGGACACAGCCGGGCCAGCAGCTCAAACCTGATGTCTCTTTCAACACTCATGGACCGAGCGTGGATCTTGAAGATGTGAGTTCGACCCTGGAAAAAAGGGAGGAGGACAGAGGTGTTCATGGCATGAAAGAGGTGATGACTCCACCCTGCAGCTGTCCACGGCCACAGCAAGGCAAAATGGAAAAATCAATCTTTTATTTGCTGCCTAACTAGTTTCCAATGTCCTGGGTGCATCAGGCAAGGCACTGCCAGAGGGAAGCGTGGATCTTGAAGATGTGAGTTCGACCCTGGAAAAAAGGGAGGAGGACAGAGGTGTTCATGGCATGAAAGAGGTGATGACTCCACCCTGCAGCTGTCCACGGCCACAGCAAGGCAAAATGGAAAAATCAATCTTTTATTTGCTGCCTAACTAGTTTCCAATGTCCTGGGTGCATCAGGCAAGGCACTGCCAGAGGGAAGGGGGGGTATCCTGCTCTGCTCTGTGCTGGGGCAGCCTCACCTTGAATACTGTGTGCAGTTTGGGGCACCGAATTTTAAGAAAGATGTTCAGTTACT